CTTACCACTACCACCTCCACTTCATCCCCTTACACTTCACCTACTACCTTCTTCTCTTCTATATATATGAATCAATGTAAACAACAACATATATCAATCAATAATACATATATTTTAACACATCTTTTATTTACTGTTTGGCTTCCGCCAACCCCTTACTCTGTACTATTGTTAATACTATTAAGCAGGCCTTTGGTAACCACAGGTTACTGGCCGGTTAGGATGCTAAATCCTTAGGGGCGAGTTTGGGTCGTGACAGAAACCCTAGAAATTTGGGGATTTTGGGAAAAATGTTGAGTTTTTATGAAATTCGTGCTTGATAAATTATTATGGTGAATAATTGGACGGATTTCTATAATTATATCTAATGAGGGATTCCATGAAAAAAATTAGAAATGTTTGATTTTGAAGCTTAATGAATTGCTTATTGTTGGTTTGTCTTGAAAAACCAAGTTTGAAAATGATAATTAACATATGGAGAATGCATGTTATACGGTATTGTTATTTATCTCTCAGATGATATATTTTGTGAAATTACATTGAGAAGAGATGTGGAAATTTTGATCACAATGGAAGATTGTGTGATGGAATTAGAAATTGAACTATTATAATGCATTATTACATGTTGTATTGCCATTCTATTTCATCTTCGTTATTATTGATTTTGAATTTGCATTTGAAAATTTTTACTTTGAGAAAATAATTGTTTTAGGGTAAATACTTTTGGTAAGTCAGGACATGAGGTGCAGTTTGGTATTGGTTAAGTTGGCCTGAGTGTCCATGGTGAAAGACTGAAAACACTCGCGGAGGAGGTACCACGTGCTTTCCAGTTAGAAACCAATAAAATGACAATTGATAGTGCTTGATATGCTTACTTGCAGACATCAACCTAAGAATTACCTGAGTCGTATTTACCATCCCTTAAATTATAATGAAGTTATTGAATAGTTGTGTTTTCAAATTTGCATTGTGCACAAGATTTCTAAAAGATAAAAAAATATATTTTGAGTATGACATGACATATGCATTCAACTCAAGAGACTATATAAAATGTATATACTTTGTTAAGATCTTTCTACTAGGCTTTGTGCTCACCCTAGTGAATTTTGTGCAGGAAAAGATGTGATTCCTCTGAGTTAAAGGCACGGAGTGTATTTTGAGGGCACGTGATTATTGTCTTTTGTTGTTATTTTGACAAGTTGATGACTTTACATGTATGGGTTTTGATAACCATTTTGTGTTATTAGGCATAAGCCTCGGAACTTGTAGCCCATGAGGGTATTAAATTGTACTCAACTTGTTGTGCCACATGCTATAGATTCATATTCTAAGAAATGTTGAATGTATAATTGTATGTGGAATACTTTTCTTAATCTCTAGAATATAATGAATACAAATGTTGGATTTTATGATGATATTAATGATGAGGCATTATATCTCATATACATTTATGAAATAGAAGGTATTAAGTTGGAAACAAGATCATGTTGTTGGAGTATGTTTGAGTTTTCTTATGTTAATTATTTGGGGGCATTACAAAAGGTTAGCCTATTTTTTTCTAAATTTGACCTTATTTGTTTTGGTCCCATCATCTGTATATCACATCTTCGCCATATGGAGTTGAAGAAAAAAAAAAAGCTATGTTGTTTTTTACTTCAACACTTGAAATGAGTATGTAAGTTATTTATACATATTTTTGAACTCATGCAGGTTATAGTTTGAGTTGACGAAAAATTGACACTCAGTTGAAATTTTTTATTCAAATATATATGTTTATGACATGTTCACACAATATATTTCAAGTTTTGATCTAAATGTTGATAACAATCTCTTTTTTCTTTTTTCTTTTTCTCTTTATGGATTTACTCAGGGCAGTGAAGAATATACCCTCTCTCTCTCTCTCTCTCTCTCTCTCTCTCTTAAGAAGGGACTTGATCTGTCTAAATCATGACTTTATATGTTTGAAATTTTGGAGTAATTGGAGTATTGAAATGTATTTTGATTGTTTTACAGAGCTGATAGTGAAGTTTGGAGAGTTGTGTGATCATCTATGACTTTATTGTTGTTGCGGTAGATCTGGATCTATGGAAAGGTCACTGGTCTGAGATGAACAGTTCTTTATTTTTTTTAGTTGATTATTATTATTATTGTTGTTGTTGTGGATGATAATGATGATAAAGATGAAGATGAAGATGAAGAAACAAATTGCATCAAATAGATCTAGATCTATTAGATACATACATATATATATATATATATATATATATTTTTTGGTAGTAGTAGTAGTAGTTGTTATTGTTGTTGTTGTTTTTTTTTTTTTATTGAATTTGAATTTTATTTGTATGGATAATAGCAAGAGAAAGAGAATTTGAATAGATAGATTTGCAACAGATACATTTTTTAATAGATAGATTTTTGAAAATGTTATTTGAACAGATCATTCCCTTTCAACATATAAAATTCAACAAATACTCAAATTTGGTCAGATATTTGAACAGATAAGAGGGAAAAATTAAATAAAAAGTCAAAAAATTTGAACAGATAAAAAATAGAATTTAGGGAAAAAATTGAACAGATAATATAATTTAGGGAAAAAAATTATGGATAAAAAAAAATTGAATAGACAAATATATTTTAGGAAAAAAATTGAACAGATAGATATAATTTAGGAGAAAAAGTTGAATAGATAGACAAAAAATTTGAACAGATAGATATAAATTTGAACAAATAGAAAAAAATTTGAACAAATAAAAAAGGATCAAACATATATATATAAATTTTAATAGATAGTCAACAAATAGTCAAATATATAAAATAAAATAAAAAAACAAAAGTCAATGGTAAAATTGAAAACAAGGATTTGTTACCAAATTATTTCACAAGACGTAGATCTATCATCAACAAAAAATATCTTTTAGACCTAATGTCTTATACTGTCCTTAGATTGGATTTATCACCAATTAACCCCAAAAAAAAAAGTTCAGTATTATATAATTAAAAAAACAAACTTTAATGTAATTATATCCAACTCGTTGATCTTTATGTATTTTTTTTCTTCAAATTTTAGTATAATTTTTAACACTAAGGGAGATGAATATGCATAAATTTACAATATTTTTATTTTATCATTGTATTCAAACTAAGGCCAAGTTTGGGAAGACTAAATAAGTGCACTTTTTGTCTTTTTAGATTAAAAAGTTGAGGTTGAAAATATGAATGTTTGGGTTAACTTTTTGACTTTTTATGGAAAAATGTGTAATAAAAAATTGTAAAAATTGATTTGTAGGAGAAAATTAGAATTGGAAGTTGTGCAGCCGTAATTGTTGACTTTTGGTGAATAGTGATAACTTTTTAACTTTTTGAATAACTTTTTGACTTTTTGACTTTTTGGGGTGTTCCCAAACTTGGCCTAATAATCTATCCAAGTGTCAAGAAAGTAGCCACCAAAGTGAAATGTTGTGTCGCTCCCGTACCTTTATTGACGTGTAAGTTTTAATAAATAGACTTATTATTTTATAAATCTTATGAAAAAAAATTATCATAAAAAATGTTATTAATTGTAAATTTTAACAAAAATTTATAAAAATTATGACAAAAAAAAATATTAATTGTCAATTTTTAACGACATATATAAAAAATTGTCACAGAAAAATTATTTTTAGTAACAATTTTATCAAGATTTATTTTTAATAGGATTTGATGAAAATTAAGTCCTACTATTAAGACCTTTTAATAATTTATCTTATTTTTTTTTATAAGTGTCCTTGGCATACTCCGATTGACACCTTACTATTTACCACAGTTTTACAAAAAATAACTACCACAAAAGAAGAAATAGACAAAATAAATGAACAAAATAAAAAACCAAATCATTAAATTCTAAACGTTACATTCCTCACCATATATAAAAAATATACAACACAAACACAAAAGAAAAACAAGCTTTATAAGAATTTGTAGTAATTTAATAGAGCATTGTGTTTTATCAACTAGTTTCGATTTTGCAGAGATTTGCTTGCTTGTGAGGCAAGAGCTATTGATTTTGCTCTTGTACTCGTCATCACCCACTCCCTCTCTGCACGCCGTTGATGTTGTCTTGCATTCTTTGCACGTTTCGGTGCTAGCCGTGTATCTCTCTCCACAAACGCAAGCCTAAACTTTTCTGCAATTGGCAAGTCCGTGGCACTTGTAACAGATGTAGAAGAAGCCCTAGCTGAATACCCAGAAACCGCCCATGTTTTAGGATCCACGTCTTTCACAATAGGATCATCCAATGCTATGTTTGGTTGTGCTTCTCTGGGAACTTCAACACCTCTGTAACCAAAAGGTGATGGTTTGGGATTTACTATAATCCGCGGACATTCTGTGGATAAGCTCTCCATTGAATCCTTGTCAACCTTTGGCTGCAAAAAGAGAGAAGGTTAGAATGGAAAACACAAAATGAATAGAAGAATAAGTAAATTAAGAAGAGTTGGACTCATAACCTCACACAACCAGACAGGCACATGCATCTACTAAAAATAGAAATCCATACCCATAGAAGCCAGCGTAATGATGGGGCACCATGAGCAATCTCCATGGTATCAAGTTCCTCCCAAGACTCTCCTTCCACATCCTCCAGTCTAGGTTTCAAGATACCCAAGCATCTGCGTGCAGTATCGTCACTCCTCGGGCACCCTCTGCAATAGTAACTTTGGTTCATAGCCTGTTATGAGGTTTACACCCCTTGTTAAAACATGACATCCTGAGTCATTCCCCTCGTGTGGGATGTCAATAAAAGGTAAAAAAGTAAATTAACCAAATGGGACTAGCCCAGTTGTCCAAAGGTTTGACTTCCCCCTCCATATGCATGACGCTATGACATTCAATGTACCCACAAAAAAAAATAGTAAATTGGAAGTACCATGTTTTAGATTGGGTATAGACAATTGCTTTGCAAGAAGCAGATTAATGAAGTTTGGTAAGAAGTATGGATATATTTTCAGAGATGCCAAATAAAGTCACTGAATATGTAGCAATTGCTTAGAGTTCATGCTGCATTAAGAAGTTCAATAGACCTTTTAGTTTCCATTCACTAGTGAAACTGCATTGCTTTCTAAATTCATGTTGAAAAGGTTCAATCAAATAAAACACCAAACCAATTTCCTTTTCATTTTGCTACTTTGGTTTTGAAAGTATCTACTTATTTCCCTCCATGTCACTGAGAGACCAACTTCTCCTTGAAAACACCAAATTTGGGTATGGAACTAGTGATCAAAATCATAGAGCCCATGTAGTTAATAGCATGTTACACAGTCTTGGATAAAACTCAACCCCAAAAGCTAGCTATTGAGGTGAGGGTGTTGCCTTCACGCTTATATGCTTAACATTACTTTGACACTCGGGCAATGTGAGACTTCGCTTCACAGTATTCACTTAGAATTTACCTAAACAAATGAGACTCTTTCGATGATAAGCGTATTAAGTTATGTCGTCAATTTGTCAAAGAATTAGTTTTTTGCAACCCAATGACGTTCATACATGCTCTAAATACCTGACAAAGTTTATGCTGGCTTCAGCCAAATTTTAGACCTTGTCCCGCACATGTTGGCATTGCTAAGCTGCTGATGCAGATACCTAAAAGAATGACGGGTACTGGAATAAATAGAGAAAGAAGGGTTTATACAGGTGAAAAGGAGGGATTTGCCTTTCTCACCTCATTAATCATCTAAACAAATGATGAGACACCTCATTCTCTCAATTTCTTTTCTTTTCTCACCAAATCCCTCAATTCAAACAGAGTGTTAAGGTTGACATGTACCTACTACAGAGCCAACAAAGTGGTTTGATGTAACTTCCTGAAAGTCTAGCCCTTTATTTTATTTGATGAAAATATGAATTGCATACAAGCAAACATTATAGCACAATAATTTGCACGTAATTCCTATGCTTTATAGCTTTAACAATCTCAAAATAACTATTTTACTTGGAATTTTTTTTTTAAAAAAGAAGTCAAAACAAATATTTAGTTAAAGAAAGAGGTTGTACCCGCATCTTAATATCTCCAATGAACGACAGTGCTGCACGAGTTCAGAAACACCACATGATGTGATTTTGCTGCACCGGCTGCATGACAATTGTCTCAATAAGTTTGAACATTTCCAGAACTAAATCAAAAATAGCATCAATTACACTTTTGGAAGCTTCACAATGCAACAGAAGTTTGTGACGTTGGTTTCAAAAGCTATGAACCTATGATCCCGGTCACAGCATCATTCTAGGATCAGGATTCCACATCAACTAGCAGATTTTTTACTATTTTTATCTCAAATTTTTCAAATTAATTTTCTCATGAATTGAAGTTTTTTGAGCAGTAGAAGTTTATAGATCATCAGTATGTCTAAGGTATTAGTCACTGTGTCTGCTTGCCAGTCATGAGCCCTACTCCAATGGCATTTTCCATAATTCTGATGCTCCAATAGATTATTTGACTGATTTCACAGTTATATGGTAGTGAATCAAATCTGATGCACCAGCCAAGTAACAGATCTTTCATCTGACATGTCCAATCTCATGGCATAGAGCCTTATTCTACAATCTACACTACTTAACTGACAATGTTAGTTTAGAATTCAAAGTTTATACCTTATGTCCACAGCTCGAATAAATTTGCACATATCTGCAACTTTTGACAAGCCAAAATCAGAAACATCTGAACCAGATAAATCAAGGATTTCCCATGAGCTCTCAGCCAATGATATGATGACAGCATCATTCAATAACTTTCTTCTTCTTGCAATTGCTGCCATTGCCAGCTGTAGTTCATAACATACAATTTTAAACATCACAATAATACGACATAAATTATCTTAAACAAATTTTATGGAAAATTAGAACTTGCATTCACTAAAGAGCATCAAGATAGCACTAAAAATTGCTCACAATTTGCCTCAATTTCATCCTTTTTCCATACGATTGTTAAACAAATTTCCTACACTTATTTTGTTACATTCTTCCTTTTTGTTGTTTGTAATTAGTGACAATTAAGTCTATTTATTTTCCTCTTCTACCAGTTATTTAGCACTAGCTAACCCAGATTGAACCATCCGCACAGAATAACAAATAAATCCATGCTTGTTGATACCACTTTCACTATAATTGAAACTTAAAATAATTCAAGGCATAATAGTACTATAAAGAACGACATGGGAATGAGCAGCTTAACCTAATATCAGCAGGAAAGTTAGCAGCAATCTCTCCCAAGTCCATCATGATATCCTCAAAATGCTTCCCAACAACTCCGAGACATAAGCTGACCAAACTTGGATGCTTTGACTTCTCAAGTGGTAATACTGTAACCAAAAACACCTCAACAAGTTTACACAAACACATACTAGTAACAGTACCTTCTAGATTATACTACAATTAGGTCTGCTTTAAACAATGCAATATATGCAAGTTTGTAATCTGTATGTAGCCATATATTCAAATTTTTAGCAGAGAGAAGTTGGTTTTTCATTAATAACAATTAGGGCATTGTGTTTTTGTTTTCAAAAACAAAACAATGAAAAGGGGGTGTTTGTTACAAAATAAAGAAAGGTGATTACAGCTTATTTTAATTTGGAAATATGTAGTAGACTGTTTGGTGCAGCTTGGGCTTATAACTTATTAGGCAAAAAAAATAGCTCAAATAAACGTATTAAGCAAAAATAGCTTAAATAAACTGAAATTTTTTTATTATCTAGAATCTGGAAGAGAGGTATACTTTCTGATTATCAGCTTTTACATACCTTCCAATAATCTACACCAAACAGGGCCGAAAACATGAATCCATCATTTTTACATAGTTTCATTTTTGTGCGAAAACAAAATTTGAAAACTCAGAAGAAAAAAAAAAACATTTTGGTATTTTCCAAAAAGTGAATTGTTTCAGAAAACAGTTTTTGTACCCATTTCACTAAACTAATTTTGTGTTTGTGTTTCCAAACATTTTAGAGATAGCTGAGATGTTTTGACTTCTCAAGTGGTAATATTGTAACGAAAAAACACCTTTCGATATAATTAGGTCTAACTTTGTCAATGCAATATCTGCAAGTTCATAATCTGTATAATTCAATATTTGATTTGGGAATGAACACCAATGCATATACAAACATGTGTATACATATATGGTATAATATATTGATATATAAAAACAACAATATAGTGAAATTAGATTGAAAGCATAGATTGAGAGAGAGAGAGAGAGAGAGAGAGAGAGAGAGATACTGGAGGAATGGAAGGTGGAGGTGATATAATCGGTGTATTTGGGGTTGTTGGAATTGAGATTCAAATCGAGGTTCTGAAACGATCTTGTAATGGCTCCAGCGGCTTTGCCTTTTTCCATCAACGAGAGAGAGAGAGAGAGAGAGACACGAAGACGAACTCCAAACCCTCACTAAATTCTACAGGAGACGGTGCGCTTATGCTTTGGTTATTGGGCAAACTTCACTTTCCGTGATTTGAGTTATATACATCACATAATTTTTATGGGTAAATTACATTGACACTCCAGACATTTATACTTATTATAGTTTCTCTCTTATTTTTTAAAAATTATATTTTTTTTTTGAAATTTAAAGTTTTATTATAGATTTTTTTTCAACCTTTTTAATTTTTTTAAATATCAATTTTATCTTTATTAAGTAAATTACATTAACACCTCTCATATTTTAGAAATTACAGTCCACTCCCTAAGATTTAAAGTAATATTATCAATTGTTCTCTCTATTAGTATTAGTTGGAAAAAAAATTCATTAGAAAAAAATTAATTGAAAAAAAAAATTTATTAGTAAAATTTTTAGATTTTTGTTTAAAAATCAACGTAAACTCATTTTTTAAATTTACATTTTTTTTCAAATTTACAAACTGAGCCATTTATAAACCAAAAAAATTATCAAATAAGTTTTTATGACAGTTTTTAAAATTTTTGTAAATATAAATTGAAAACTGAAAACGAAATGGTACCAAACATGTTTCAGATGATTAAAATATCGTAAAAATAACAAATAATTAAATAAGTTACCAACATAAGAAATGACTTATCAAAAGATTCTTAGGCTATGTATAGCTTGATTTTTAAAATTTTTTTTAAAAATTAAAAATTAATTTGGTTAAGAAATAAAAAATAAAAAATAATTTTCATTTCGTTTAAAAAATATTTTTTTTTTATTTTTCATTTCTTAACCAAATTAATTTTTACTTTCAAATTTTTTTCTCTAAAAATCAAATCATACATAGCCTAAGAATCTTTTGATAAGTCATTTCTTACGTTGGTAACTTATTTAAATATTTGTTAATTTTACGAAGCTTTTACCATCTGAGACCTGTTTGGTAACCATTTCGTTTTCAGTTTTCAATTTATATTTACAAAAATTTTAAAAACTGTCATAAAAACTTATTTGATAATTTTTTTGATGTATAAATAGTTGTCTCAATTTGTTAATTTGAGAAAAAAACATAAATTCAAAAAATGAGTTTATATTGGTTTTTAAATAAAAATTTAAAAATTTTATTAACAAAAAAAAAATTCAATTAATTTTTTTCCAATTAATATTTTTTTTCAATGAATTTTTTTTCCAACTAATACTAACCGAAGAGGCAATTAGTAATGTTATTTTAAACCTTAGGGAGGGGATTGTAATTTCTAAAATGTGAGGGGTGTCAATGTAATTTATCCAATAGGAGTAAAATTGGTATTTAAAAAAATTAAAAGGGTTAAGGGGGAATCTGTAATGAAACTTTAAACCTCAAGGGAGGAGATGTAATTTTCAAAAGGTGAAAGGAAAACTGTAATAAATATAAATTTCAGGGGGTGCCAGTGTAATTTGTCCTAATTTTTTTATTTCGTGGATTAAAATATATTATTAAATTAGTTAATAATTTAATAAAAAATATTATAATATTTTTATATTTTCGTTATTTATTTAAAAAGTAAAGACTATTTTAATCTTTTATTAATAACTTATTGAAAAAGATTAAATTTATTTTATATTTTTGACGTTTATTTAGAACGTAAAATATATTTTAACCTTCTCTACTTTATTTCATATACAATTTAATTCTTATACTTTATTTTATGTGTCACGACCCAACCACAGGAGCTTAGGGCTGTAATCGCAACTTACTAATTTATTTATAGCAAATTAAATGGCATTGGCGAAGGTAAATAAAAAATAATTAAATAAAAAATTTACTTCATTCTACTATTTTACTAAGAGAAAATACATCTATAGGGCATTTATTTATTTATATTTTTATTATGCAGTGACCGACCCTCAGTAAAAATAAATAAAAGGAAGAAAAGGAAAAAAAAAAAATAATGGATCAGTATTAATTCTTATTCAGGTTCCATTACATGAGGTTACGGGTTTTCCTTACATCTTGTCACCTAAAAGCGTAACAGCTATAAGAACATAGCAGAGTGAGAAATATTATGTCAAAAGTATAGGGAACACAAAATAATCATGGATAGTTAGTTAAGTTAAAACATTTACATAACTTAACTTGAATAAACAAATTATTCAAAGTGGCAGAAACTGAAATACGAAAATAATGTAAATAAATAACTATAACCACGGTACAGAACAGAGGTCACAGAAGTGACAGTCAGAATAGAGGTCAATAGATTCATGACAAACAGAACACCACAAAGTGGCCAAACAGATGCCAATAGTTATGTAAATCCCCCAAGGCGAGGGACTCCCGTGGTGGTACTTACAAAACATAATTGTTTATAAAGTCATTATCAAATATTTTTTAAAATTTAAACAAACATATCCATAGATTCCATTTTAAACAAATAGAGTTCAAAAAACAATCCACGTAATTGAAATATTAATATAATTTATAAAACATAACTTGTATAAAATAAATTATGGCAAGTCAAAACATACGTAAAATATATTATGGTGAGTCAATGCATAATATAGCTCACCTTAATATTAATTCCTACTATTTCCCTCCTATTTACGCTAGCTTCTCGAGATCATTTCCTTCCCTTTTTTTGTCTCTTTTTTTTTTTTTTTGTTTCATTCATTTCTTTACTCAATTTGCAGCCCCCAACCCTCTTATATATACACAAGCACATGATGCCTAAAAATGGTTACTCACTTCCCCTAAGGCCTAGATAACATAGGTGGCGCAACATCCTTCTCCTGGAGAGATTTACAAATCTTCTTAATTAATTATTAGTTAATTGACGTTAGCCTTATCACTTGTTGTTAGTCTTATTATATTTGGTATGCTTATTCTTAGTATCACTATTGCCTACTATTATTATCATTATTATTCTTATTCCACATATTTATTTTATTATTATTTATTTATTTATTTGTTTGTTGTTTTAATAATATATTATCACATACAACTATAATTATATATAGCTATAAATATTTATGTGGTATTTAATTAAACGTTTAGGGTGTCACATTTCTCTTCTCCTAAATAGAAGTTTGTCCTCAAACTTGACTTACCTTGATTTTCGAAGAGGTGCAGGTATTTGGCTCGCATTTGACTTTCCGTTTCCTACGTAGCTTCTTCGATACGATGATTTCGCCATAAAACTTTTACTAATGGTATGGTCTTGTTTTAGAGAACTTGATCACGACGATCGAGAATCTGCACTGGTTGCTCTTCATAAGAGAGATTCTTTTGAACTTCCAGGTTCTCATAATCAACAACATGTTTTGGATCTCGAAGATACCATCGAAGCATTGAAACGTGAAATACATTGTGGACATTGGATAGTTCAGGTGGTAGTGCAAGGCGATAGGCTACAGAACCAATCCTTTCCAGTATCTCGAATCACCCGATGTAACGTGGGCTTAACTTTCCTCGTTTTCCAAACTGGATAACTCCTCTTGTTGGTGAGATCTTAAGGAACACATGATCTCCTATTTGAAATTCCAAGTCCCGTCTTCGTGTATCTGCATAGCTTTTCTGGCGGCTCTGAGCAATGCGAATTCGCTGTTGGATGAGTTGGATTTTTTCACTTGTGACTTGCACGATCACGGGGCCTAACAGTTTCTTGTCCTCGACTTCCGTCCAACACAAAGGTGATCGACATCTCCTTCCATACAGAGATTCATACGGTGCCATTCCAATGCTTGCTCGGTAGCTGTTGTTATAGGCGAATTCCACTAAAGGTAGGTGCTTATCCCAGTTACCTTTGAGGTCCAACACGCATACACGTAACATGCCTTCCAACGTTTGGATTGTTCTTTCGGACTGCCCATTAGTTTGTGGGTGATAAGCAGTGCTAAACTTCAATGTGGTTCCCAAAGCTTCTTACAATTTGTTCCAGAAGTAAGACACGAAGCGAGCGCCTCGGTCAGACACGATTGAAACTGGGGTACCATGCAAACGAATAATTTCCTTGATGTATAAAGTGGCAAACTTATTGAGGGAGTACATGATTTTGATTGGTAGAAAATGTGTCGACTTCGTCAATCGGTACACTATAACCCATATTGCATCATTCTTCGAAAATGACTATGGTAGCCGACTACAAAGTCCATAGTAATGTGCTCCCATTTCCATTCAAGATTAAGGAATGGTTTAGCCCTGCAGGTCTCGGATGTTCTGTTTTAACACGCTGACAATGCAAACATTTGGAGACATGGCTTGCGATGTCTCTTTTCATTCCTGTCCATCAGTAGTGTTCCTTTAGATCATGGTACATCTTTGTGTTGCTAGGGTGGACCGCAAATCTTGAGCTATGAGCTTTCACCAATATCTTCTTCTTGAGTTTCAGAATGTCGAGTACGCATATTCGATTCCGAAATTTTAATATCCCATTGCTTATAGTGAAATCAGGATCAAGCGTACTCCTTTGCTCCTTGTACTTTTTCTTCAAAAGTTTATCTTCACATTGGTGCGCTTTAATTTCTTCAATCAATGCGGGTTCCACGGTTATATTGGCGAGTAGTCCATTGACCTTGTGGGAAACAAGAGTACGTGCTAAACTTTTGGTCATCTTTCGGCTCAGTGCGTCTACCACCACGTTAGCTTTGCCTAGATAGTGATGGATTTCTACATCATAGTCTTTCATAAATTCTAGCCATCATCGTTGCCTCATATTCAGTTCCTTCTGTGTGAACAGATATTTAAAACTCTTCTGATCAGTGTAAATTTCGCAAGTTACACCGTAGAGATAATGACACCAGACCTTGAGGGTGAAGACCACCGTAGCTAATTCTAGATTATGAGTTTGGTAGTTTTTCTCATGAGTCTTTAATTGGTGTGAGGCATAAGCACTGACTTTTTCATTTTACATAAGAACACAACCCAAACCATTGTATGGCTTCACTATAAATTATGAACCCATCTGCTCCTGTAGGGAGTGTTAGTATAGGAGCTGACACAAGTTGACTTTTTAATTCTAGAAAGCAACGCTCCTATTTGTCAGTCCATTCAAATGGTGTATTCTTTTGAGTTAGCTGGGT